AAGATGGGTTTGATGATGCGGACTTGCACTATCAGTTCTTGCTTCACAAGCTTTCACCAGGAGGATGTTAGTCTCACGAGGAGGGGCTGGAAAGGTACTAGCCTGGGGTGAGCGCCCACCTCCTAGCAGCCCAGGGGGTGATGCCCCCCCCCCTCCAGTGAGAAAGGAGCCCAGTGACCAGACTCCGTCTTCAGGACACAGGTCTGGAGTGAGATATAACAACGCCCATTTCAACACGGACCTTTTTGCTGTGTGTTCTCCTTTGTGGCTTGAAATGCATTTCCAAGCTGTCACCAAATACAAACTTTACACCCCGGTGGGGCACCCTCGGGACCTTTCTGCTCCAGCCTGTCCTCTCTCTGAAGTAATAACCGCCTCCCTCCAGCTTCAAGGACCACATCAAAATGAACACTTCAAATTCAGAATTCCCCAGTGACACAGATACCCTGGATGATTTAGATGTGTCTATATGAGAGGGCTTCTGTGAACACTGTTGGTAACCTGTTGAATGGGTAGGGCCTTACGCCTGCAGATATGAGCATCTCTGGGTGGCCCAAAATACGGAGCCCACCTTAGACTCTAGCGAGGGGTCTAGTGGATACCCAGGGCATCTGAGGACATCACCATGGGGCAGGTGTAATGGTATGTGTGCAGCTCATTTGCGGTGGGGAGGAATGTGAAGAAAGGAGGGGGTGAGAATACGGAATGAAGGCCCTAGGATGTTAAAGTTGGATGAAACTTCAAAGCTCACTAAGTCAAAGCCCCTCTTTCTACAGCTGGGAAACTGAGGCACTGAGAGGGAATGTGACTCGTCCTCAATCACATGGCAAGATGGAGACAAAGGCATGTCCCCAAGAGCCTCAGCCCTGTGCTTTTTCCCTCCTGTAGTATGCTGCCTTCTGAAATTAAATACAGAGCCCAGGAAGACCTAGCTTTCATACTGAGTCTCTCATTAAAATGCTGCATTTATAAAAAATAACATTTGAACCCTGGAAAATACTTCATTAAAACACAACAAGCTTCCTTGAAAATACTCCAGAGTGAAACGTCCCAGGTTCAGGAAGGGTGGTGGAAGGAATGTCTATGGGAGGTAAGATAAGACGTCAACTCTTCTCAGAGCAAGTGGATGTCTAGGGTCCAGGTCACCAGCAGCCCCTTCAGATGACCTTGGGTCAAGCCCACACTTGCCAGTGGATGGGATCTGAGGATGGAAGGCCGGTGGCCAAGTATCTCTGAAGAAAGATGGATTGTTTGGTGGCAGGGTTACTGGTAATGGAGATTTCTCCATGCTTGGAAGGCCATGAGACTCTCCCGTCTTTTGAGGGAAGGGGTGAAATCCGTGACACATATAAGCAGGACAGATGTAAGCAAGGTGGCAGAGTGGCCAAGAGCCACCAAGGATATGAATCTTTGGCCAGAGAAGGAGCCTCTGGGCTCAGGGCAGGCTGGGCAGGAGCTTCAGGGAAATGCCAGCTGCAGAAACCAAGGCTGACCTTCAAACCACGATGTCCCTGACAGGCCAGCTTCTCTCTCTAACCTCCCGAAGATCAGAGAGAAAGAGCCCTTGGCTGCATGGCCTGGGGAACCATCTTGTAAGCGCAGGAGGTGAAGGATAAACCAACGAGGCCAACAGAAGTCTTGAAGAATGTGTCATTCTTTGCTTGTTTTCACTGAGGGCCCTAAGTTTTAGAACTTAGAGTATAGCAGAATGGAGGTAAACAAATTAGGGATGGAGGGAGGTAGATGGAGGAAGAGGGCAGGGCCAGGGAGATGAGAGGGAAAGACTAAAACGGGCATAGAAGACTGAGGTTAAAACAGGAGTTTCCAGGTGTGAGAGTGGAAAGAGGGAAGAAGTTTGAGTTAAGGGGAAAGTCTGGAACTTTCACCCAAGACACCAGGGAACCCCAAGGGTGGTACTCCAGTCAGGCGGATCAAGGAATTTCTGGGAAAGCCTTTGTGACTTATGAACTTACGCATGAGGGAAGGGCATGAGGGATGGCGAGAGCTTCACTGCCATCAAAGACCAAGGGGACCTGTGAGACCCTTCAGGACAGGAGAGAGCTCCATCCATTCCCATCAGAGCAATGGACACACACACACACAAAGGACAAAACAAGCAGAAGGAAGTTCAGGGCTCTGAGCTGCCCTTGCTGGGAAAGGAGGGCTTTCACCATGGGATGGATGGCCCTTCTATGCATGCTAGCGGCCACCAGCCTGTAGGGCTGGAAGTCATGATATCTCGGTTCCAGCCCAGAACCTTCTCTTACCCGATACATGAACGTGTCTGGTCACGTGGCTCTGCTTGTTCTGCAAATGTGGATGGGGCAGTTGAATAAATGAGATATTTCTGTATCCCAGTCGAGCCATAATTTTGTGGATTTTTTAAATGAGGGACTGAATTGGAGCAAGTTTGTAGACCTCTCTCTTTCTTCTTTCTTCCTCCCTCCCTCCCTCTCTCCATCCATCCCTCCTTTCTTTTCTTCCTTCCTCCCTCTGCTCCTTCCTTCCTTCTTTATTTCCTTCCTCCCTTCCTTCCTGACCCAAGTGTGAAGCAGAAGAATCATTTCAACAAAGTAAGCGTTAGGTAGAATGTTCTGATCTGACTGACACCAGAGGTTTTAAACCGGACAGCGATAAGGCTGGGATGAGAAGTGCTTTGGAATCAACCTATCAAACAACCCCTGAGACAGACAGACAGACAGACAGGGCAGGGGAGAAGCATCGTGCTACGGCTGCAGAACTCGGTGCCAAGATGCTTCTGACCCAGGATGAGATCAGGTTTCTGGTTCGGCGTGTGTATGTGTGCAGACACCTGGGGAGGGGATTTTCACCCTTTCCCCTCTGCACCGGCAGGCAGCCTTTGAGGGGAGGCTGGATTAGAGGACAGTGGGTTCAGGGGGACCAGCCGTGAGAGACACACCTCCGTCTCTGGGAGTGGCCAACTACTCCATTTAGATTGGTTTCCTCCCCCTAGCCCTCTTAGCCTTGCCTTCTGGAACAAACTCTCATGAAACCTTGGGGACCAGCCCCTTGAGAAGGTTTATGTGTTTGTAGGGGAGGAAAGCAGAGAGCGATCCCTGTCCTCACAGCCTCACAGTCTCGGTGATGCTATCCCAGTGGGGACGCCGAGAGCTGTGTTCACCACCTCCAGCCTGGATCCCCTTATGATGAGCCTTGAGGAGGAGACAAGAGCTTTGGAATTCTTGAAATAAGTAAGAGGACTCAGTCAGTTGAGTTTTCTGTGGATTGTAGACATGGTGAGATTAAAAATTCCAAGGGCTGACACTGGGGGGGTTCTTCTTGCCAGACCCCCATTTTAAAGGACCATCCATGTTGTATGCAGAACTGGGGGAACCCAAAATCCCAGTTTAAGGTCATTGTTTTTGGAGTCTGAGTGTGGCGACAGTCGTATATTTTTGAATCATACCTTTACCCACCAGTCTGGGGCTGATTCCCCGTGCCCCAGCCCAAGGAAGTGCCCTGGCCCTGAGAATGGGGGAGCCCCTTCTCTCCCCCCAGGCTCTGGTCTTAGGGAGTTGGATGCCGCTTAGTTCACTATTCACTCTCCGGGAGGCTGGTACACCCTGCCCACTGCCCACGTTGGAGGCAGAGAAGGGGCTGAGATGGGCTGGCAGGGGCCAGCCCCCCCCCCCCAATAGAACTGAAGGCATGGATCTGCCTGGTGCCCGAGTGCCCCCTGCAGGGGAGCGGTGGGGAGCTGCCCAGGTAACCCCCAGACCCATAGCCTGGAGTACCATTATCTGCATTCGCCGACGGGTCTCTGTTGCTTTGATGCAGAAGAGGCACTGGTCTGAAGCAGCAGCAGCCAAGAGAGAGTAACGGAAGGGCAGGGGGAGCGAGGAGGAGGCAGGGAGAAGGAGCAGTGAACAGAGAAGGGGCCGGGCAGGCGGGCAGCGGTGGGGAGAGAGGGGTGGGCATGGTTCAAGACCACTGCCTGGGGTCCTCCTCGACTGGGGGCCAAGCCACCCTCTCTGGAAGTCTCAGCCTCAGCCTGCACGGTGGGAGACGGGCAGAGCCCCGGCAGATGGGAATGGCGAACCCCTGAGGCCCAGGGCATCACAGTGGCTCTCCCCGCCTTCTGCTCTCTGGCCACGGCAGAGGCCTCTGGGGAGCAGAGCAAAGGAAGGGAAGGCAGGCCTGAGCGTCGGGTCATAGTTCAGACTAGAGGCCTAGAGGAAGTGCGGAGATAGGTTGCTGGCGAGGCCACCCCCAAAGTCCCTGTACCCCACTGTGACTTTCCTCTGGGTGGGCTACAGGAAAGCCCCAGACGGCTCAGGGGCCAAACGCCTAGAGCCGGGGGAGGGGGTCGATGGGGGGAGGGTGTCCGCAGGTGGGGCAGCCAGCTAGAACTGGGTGGGGTGGGGGGTTCTCAACAACGGGGAGGCAGCTGAAGAAAGGGAACCCCTCCCTCTCCCGGGGCTTGGGGGAGGGGCGCCGGGCAGGGGGAAGGGCCACTCAGTGGGGACCAGAGACTTCCAGCAGGCAGAAGAGAACGTTATTGTGCTTATGGACACAGCAGCTCCCCGGCTCTGAGAGAGCGAGCAGGCAGTTTGTAGGCACTAGATTTCTGTGACGCGGTTGTAGGTAAGTGAATGAGACCAAGTAGCCTATTCGGTCAGCCCGTTGACTGCACCTGCTGGCCAGTCCAAACCCAGGGGGGCTTCGGACCAAGGTCAGGCCAGGGGCTCTTGGCTGACAGAGCCTGCAGCTGAGCCCCCGGGAGGGGGGAGAGGGACATGGGGCTGAAAGGGACTTAGTGGTAGGGGTGGGGCAGGGCGGGGCTGGGGCCTAGTGAGAGAGATCGCTCTAGACCTAGATCCAGGCCACCAGGCCGTGTCTCCCGGAGTATGGCTTTCTGGGCAGAGGTGCCCGCCCTCACCTCCTACAGACGGGACAAGGCAGGGGGTCCCCCTGCGCGGGGCTAGGGGCTCTGCTCCAGGCCCTGCCTGCCCCCTCCCCGCCCGGCCCCGAACCGCCAGTCACACGGTCACTTCCGTCTTGCTGGCCGTGTAGCAGGTGTGGTGGCCCGGGATGTAGTGCAGCTGCTCCACAGTGTTGTGTCTGCGGGAGGCGAAGGCCTGGCGCTTGGCGGCCGTCTGGCTCTGGCCCAGGGTGGCATAGGAGTTACTGGAGGCACTGGGATGGGAGTGCATCTTGGTCATGCGGTAGCGGTCCAGCACGGGCGTGGACACAAAGACGTCCGTGTGCGAGATGGCCCGCGACAGGGACTGCTCGGGGAAGGCCGTCCGCTCCGGGGACAGCAGCGGATCCTGGGAGTGCAGGCGCTCGGTGGAGAGCAGCTGCTCGTCGGACAGAATTCGGTCATAGGGCAGGCCGAAGTCATCCGGCAGGCCCCGCTCCGGCGACAGAACCCTGTCCTGGGACATGGCCCGGATGGGCCGGCGGGGCCGCTCCCGCGGTAAGGGCTTCTGTTGGGACATCTGGATGACATTGAGGGGTAGGGTGCCGCGGGCGGCCAGGTCAGGCAGATGCCGCCTCCGCATGTAATACTCGTCAGCTTCCTTGTCAGCTGGGGAGAGAGACGGAGAGAGCGGGCGAGAGCAGTCAGCTGGGGTGACAGTGTGACAGACAGCACAGCTGGGACCTGAACTAGGGCCCGGCAGCCCAGACAGGTGGCGTGCAAACCACTCCCCAGGGGTCTTGTTAAGTGCAGATTCGGATTCGGACCTCCTGGCCTGGGGTGGACCTGAGAGTCTGTCTCTAACCAACTCCCAGGCGGTGCTGATGCCTCTGGTCCAGGACCACCTTGAGTCACCAAGGGTGGAGGGGCTTCCTCAAGGTCCCTAGGGAGCTCAAGGCAGAGCTGATGGCACAGCCAAGCCCCTGAAATCCTGCTTCGACCACCTGGTGGTCCCGAAATAGACTGGGTCTTGCTGAAACGTGGGGGGAAGGGGGGGCAGTTGGTGGCCTTCTGATGAGGTTCAGAGCCTCTTTCTAGGGAAGCTGGGTTGCAGGACCAGACTCTCGCTACAATAAAGTGTAAGGTGCTCCAACCAAGAGGCACTTGTGAAAACGCTTAGCTGGTAACTTAGGAACATAGTAACACCTCCCCTGGAGTAACAGCCAGTGCATAGGAAACCAACACCCGCCTGTAGTTCCAGAATCAAGCCTACACCCGTGTACGCACAGAATCAAGCCTACACCCACGTCGCGTGGGCCCACAACATGGCCAGAACCATCCTATATGTGGAGCTCATTCAACACTCCACCCTCCTCTCCATCCAGGAGGTCCTCCCATGCTCACAAGGATTGCTACACCCTTACATTTACCCACACGCACAAGCCTGCTTTGCCCCAAATTTCAGGAACAAGGTTTCCTGTAGTTTTCGAAACCTTTGCAGAATTTGGCAATTCTGACTGCTCCCCGGTTTTCCCAGAGAGTCACGGATGGGTAGATTCTGCCTCCCTCTTCCCTGCCATTCACGGAGTCCTCAGATCTTCAGGGACCCCCACTTCTAGCCATAGAAGCTCACCATGGAGGTGACTAATGTAGATCCAGGGGATGGATTCCATAAGGGCAGATTACATAGCATCAAGTAAAGACTCAGACCCACAGTTGGGTGGTTATGAAAATAGACCCATGAGGACTTGGAGGCAGAAAGTCTACGGGTCAGAAAGCTAGGAAAGAAGAGCTCTCCTCTTATGTGCCTTGTTGACACTGTAATGGGTCTTAATGGGTCTTAGGTCTATCCCTGTCCAGACCCTCCCTGGACTCAAGTGGCAGAGCTGGGATCACTGGATGAACGGAACTCCATGATGAAATGGGGTGTGTGCATAAGAGTGGGGAGTCTTGGGTTCTCAAGACAGTGTTGGCTGGCTTAGGGAGGGAGCTGATTTCCAAAGCCTAGGAGGGATCTCAGAAAAATCTCTGGCACTGGTAGCCTCCACTCCAAGATAAGATGGAGCATGAGGAAGGCCCATGGTTTGAAGATGGTGGGTGCTGGGTGAGGCTGGGGAAAGGCTTTCTCTTGCAGTTTAAACTGGTACGTGAGTTGATGCACTGCCTTCCACGGGAACATGGGTCTGAGGATTCCGTGGCCTCTACTCTATCTTTGGGAGATGGATTCTGGCCATAACGAACAAACACAAGGGGCTTCCTGTCCTCTTCTTCCATGCTACACCTTTCTCTTTATTCTTGAAACTCCATGCCGGTCCCCTCGGGTGTACGGCAAGAGAGAGAAACACAGGAGGATGTCACAAAAGCCCCAGAGGAAGACCCCAACCCTGAGGTAACGCTACTTACTTAGCCTCTTCAGGGATGAGTACTTGCTGGGGTGGCTCTTCATTGCAGACTCATAGGATGGGGGCAGGTGGGCCAAATTCTGGAAGGATCTGGAGAAGGAGAGGTCATAGGGCTCCGTGGCTGACGTCAGGATGTTGTTCATCCTTGGCTTCTCTGCAAAAGAAGGGGCGGGTGCATTGCATTAGCGAGGACAACGAGCAGGCAGAAGGGGAGGATCCAAGCTCTATCTCTCGCTCCTCATCCTACTTTCCTGGCCCCCTGTACTAGGACACGGGTGGTGCTGGTGACTTGGTTTCCCCCATACTCAGTTCCAGTTGCCTATAAGACTGGGGACAAGTGCTGTTTTTGCCGTCACTGGCCATGCTGGTGGCCTAACCTTCCTTGAATGACAGGCTCCTCCCCGTGTGCCACTGTGCTGTCTGATGAAAATGTAAGCCTGATGGAGCTGAGGGTGGTCCTAAAATTATCTACGCTGGTGTAAAAGTTATGTCCTTTCCCTAATAGTTCTCAGGCTCAGGGGGGAAAAAAAAATCTCAATTTGAAATGGGGGAGGGTGACTGTGGTCTTGTCCACATACCCACAGAACGGGGTCCGGGACCCAGGTTCATTGAGACTCCATCCCACACTGCCCACCCCTCATTCCGTCCCTCATGTCACCCCTTATGCCTTGGGCCTCCCCAAGCCCTGTACCCGACAGGCCACTGTGAGCTACAAAGCTACTCCCTCCTCCTCAGGTCCTTCCCTGAAAGCCCCCCTTGGCTATCTCTGAGCCACTAGAAGAAAGAATGTAAGCAAAATGCTTAGCACATCATTCCCCTTTTCTCCTTCTTTCCCTGGAGATAGAGCCTTGAAATTCCAAAATCTGAAGACAGAGAAAGGAGTGTGTTCAATGCCAGACCAGGGGCGACAGAGCTGGAGAAGGTAGGAAAGAGAAGATGAATGGGTGATGAGGTGGACGACGCGTGAGGTGGATGAGCTGAGCTGGGCTCTGAGGACCACGTTAGGAAGAGCACGGGGGCCAGGGGGAGACAGGAGATGCAGGTATGGGTGAGGGGGTAGTTGGGAAGCAAGCAAGCAAGCGTGTCTTGGTGCTTGACTGACTTGATGAGTCTTAGCAAGAAATCAGCAGGCACTGCTGGGGAAACAGCGGTACCACTCCCCAAAATGAGGTGGGCAGGTAGCTCTCTCATTGCCCGTCTATCCTGTTTGGTTTGGGACTCCCAAAGAAGGGTCTGGCTGTGGCTCCCCATGCCTCTTGGCAGAGAGAGTGCTGAACTATAGAAGTCAGGAAATCTCTGAACTGGGAGACAAAGAGGAGCATTGCCAGGCTTGGTCCAAGGGCAGCCTCACTACAGGGAACTCCCAGCTTCTCTCTCCTTCCTGCCTTCGCTGGTACCCCTAAACCCTGGGGATGGAGCCAAGGGAGCCCAGCCAATGAGCTGGTGTTCATGCCAGCTCGGTACATATGTGAGGGGGTGAGGGACGCTCTACATCCCCGAGAGATCAGAACATGCTGTACAGAAAGAGCCTCCCTGGCACGGATCGGGACAGATGCCAGGAAGCGGGGTGCGCAGGAAGCTGGGAGTACTGCGATCTGGAGCTGGGTAACAGCCGAGGCTCTTGCTCCTACTTATTTACTTTCAGTGATGCTGGAGAAGGAATGAACTCCCCTCTGCCTATTGGCATCATACTCCCACTGAGGGCATCGCTCAGCTCACCCACTTCCAAAGGCAACATTTCTGGGTGCTTCTGCCCACCCTGCTCTGTCCTCCAACTCATGCTGCCGATCAAGGCCAGCTCTTCCTTGCCTTTGGCCTCCACCATGATTACCCCTGCCCCCTGCTCATGCTCTCTCTCACTCATATTGCAGTGTCTTTCCTTACTCGTTCTCTGCCCAAATTATCTCTTCGCTCAAGACTCTCGGCTCTGACGATGTCACATCTTTTCAGCCCCCGATGACATCTGGTCTCAAGCCCCTATTGCTTTTCCAGGCAATGCCACCCATTTTCATGTCTACGTGGTTCCTAATCACTTGACCTGACCTGGTCTTGTGGATCACCAAAGACTGCAATATTCTTGACAGCAGACACCTTGCCTTCCAATTTGTCTGATGCCTTCACAATGCATGGCCCACAACAGGAATCCAATTAACGCTCTTTGGTTAATCCAGTCGACACAGGCCACCTTCCCTCTTAATAACCTCTCTGCCAGTTCCTGGGGAAAGTGTAGCTTCTAATGAAGAGATGCAGAGAAAACCCTGCCTCCCCCAGGCTGTGAGCTGTTCAAGGGGCAGGGACTGGGTCTCAACTACCCTTGGACCCTTGCAGCGGGTGGAAAAAGAAGGGAGGAAGAGGAGGGATGAATGGCTCTCTTTCTGTACCCAGGAAGTGTTGGCTTCCTCTGGAGAAAACGGGCTCCCTGTTAGCCTTTCAGAAAGTTCAGGAGTGAGCAAAGCACTCCTCGCTAGCCTTTTCTGGCTCCTCTTCCTGCTGCTGCCTCATCACCGTGGGCATCCCCCCAGGCTCTCTGCTTCTGCCTTCTGCTTTTCTCTTTCAGCCTTCTTGCACCGACTGCCCCCCACTCACAGGGCGTCTGTTCCTGCTTCCATAGCATCACTTACTTACATCTTCAGCTGTAACTTCCCTCCAGGCTTCATGTCTGCATTTCTAGCCGCCTGCTGAATCCTTTTTCTTGACTACCCTATGGTCTCCAGCTTTACATGTCCAGATCCAAATTCACCATCGACAGCTCCGTCTCCTCTACCTGCTGGCTTGCTTTCCTGACTGGTTAGATTGCCTTAATAAGAACCCCCATTCTTCTCCCCATTTTGCTCACAGTTGACTCTCATCAACCGTATTCACCTCGTCACTAAGTTTTCTCAGCTCTGTCTACAAAATGTTTTATATCTGACCCATTCTTCTTTTCCCACGGTCCACATCACCACCGGTAGCTGCTGCTTCTTAACTGATCTCTCCAATTTCTTCCAGTTCTGGTTTCTCCTAGTCGCTACAACCTGAAACATCTTATTAAACTCTTGCTTTCATCGCATATTTCCACTAGGAGCCCAGCCCTAGAGGGGGACATCAAAATAGTCCACTTCTGTCTTCCTAATTATAATGCTCAACACCTCAATGCTGAAGCAGAGCATAATCTCACAGGAGAGTTGTCAGTCTCTCTGCCAAGTGAGCTGCAGAATTTATCTTTGTTTGGAGTTTCTCTCTCACTAAAATTTAACGATGTTTTCACTCCTTCAGAGCAAAGACAGCAGAATGACTGATGGTTCATAATTTACATGGCTGTCTTATGTTCTACCAAGTTCTGAGCAGATACCAAAAATAGTTTTTCTCTGCAGTTCCAGATGTTAAGTTGTGATCAAGAGGGTGTTATAAGAAGGACGTGTGGATTTTGTAAACCTCTGGCGCTACGCCCACACTCCTGTGCTCCACAGCCTTCACCTTCTTCCCCTGTCAAGAGGCTAACGCTCAGATCACCCAGGTTGGTTTTGAGTGTTATCAGCTCTCAGTTGGTTTGGGGGAGGATTGATGTAGGTTATGCCAAGTCACATGTCATTAGCAAATGGTACCACATGTAGACTTGGGCAAAAGGAGCATGCTTACTCTTTGCCCTGGACATATGGACTTTATGCCTGCAAGAAGTGATCTAGTGTGCACGTGAGAATGGGTTAGGAAAGGGTCTCCTTCCTTCCCTTTCGGGGCCGGAGATCACTCTGGTTTCAGAGACAGAACATTAGGAGACAATGGTCTAAGAGTGGGACTGAGCCACTGTGGGCCCCTTACATCTCCTGAGCTCCAGTGAGTCATGACCGTATGTCTGATGCCAGACGGGCATCAGCAGTCAGGATGGAGCCACTGGGGATGGGGATGGAACACGGAATGCTCACAGCCATCTCTCACCATGTGTAGGGGTCTGGGTAGGACTGCTTAAAATCGGATGGTTATACTGATGATCACCTGGAAATCATAGAAAAGAGATTTTTAAAGAAGAATTCAGGCATTCCATTGTTTCTCCCACACAGCGGCGCCTCTCTTGACAGCTAAGGTGTTAATCTGAGCCAAAGGAAGTCCTCCGAAAAAGCCTGGGCCCTCTGACGCCCTGGAAATGCGAAGGGCAGAAGGCAGTGTGTTAGGCGCAAAGAACCTTCCTCTGCTGTTTCTGTCTCTCTCCTCCTGCATCAGGGTATCCTCTGTCACCATGGAGACCCACCCACATCTGTGGATCTGGCTGACCAGCAACAGAGGTTGTTGGGGTGGAGGTGGGTGGAGGAGAAGGATGGGGACTAAGGGGCACTTGGCACGTATACGCACATGGGGTGGGGACTGGCCAGGGGACGTAGATCCTTTTGGGGGTAGGGGGTTGTAGGGCATCGTATGCCAGGAAGGGGATGCCTCTAACTTAAGGTGGTTGCACCTTTATGGGGCTTTGATTTGCCCTGAGTCTTTATACACGTGTGTCTGGGTGCATCCTGAGATGGGGCAAGCTGACGTGAGCTGTCCACTGCTTGCGATCAGGAGTCCTGAGTTCTAGGCTCTGTCCTGCCTATAAATAACACAGCCCAACGTTTCAAAAGCATGTATATTAATTATAAATGGCAAAGTCCACATTGATTGAACAAGTCACAAAATTAATGGAGTCACAGTTGCCAAGGCCCAGAGTTCAAAGTAATCTATAAGGTCTTCTTAAACCCAGTGACAGTGTGGTTTTGCCATGAAAGCACACTTGATCCCTGTGTTACTGCTTCATTTCAATAATTTTGCATTAAATTTTAACTAAAGCAAGGGGAAAAGGAGGCATGAAGTCTTTGATCTAGTTCGTCTAAACCGTGGATTACAGCCATGCCATCCTCTTGGGGCTAGAAGAGCTGTATCTGTTTCCTTATATTTTGCTTTGAAACCATCCTTTCTACCCTTGTCATCATGGTCTTTGGCTGCTCACTATAAAGGTTTTCTCACCAGATCCCATTTCCTCTTGTATTCTAAATATACTAGTGAGTGCTTCATGAAGGCTCTACCTTCTTACCCAAACTGGTAGTTCTCAAAATTACACCTCTCCTCGAGAGGTCTGTCTGGTGTGGAGGGTTCGATTTTAAATTGCTTATGGACATGGCCTTGAAATTCCTGCCCTTAGCCCAAACCATCATGTCCCCAAGTGAGCTCATCATCCCATTGCTTTATCCTCCAATGGTCAAGCTTCTCTCTTTCCAGGGCACTAATGTTCCATGGGCTTGAATGTAAAGCTTAATTCATGGTCCACCATTTCCCTCTCTTCATCCTCCATATCCTGTGAGTTCCCCAAATCCTGTTCCTTTAAATCCAGGCCTATAATAGATATTTTTGTCCAAATTTCTCTTAGCTCTAGTCCCTGGCCATTTCCAAGACGAATCATCCTGTGTACTCCTACTAGACAAAATTTCCCATACCAATGGAATCATGACATCGTTCCTGACTCTAAATAGTCACAGACAGCTATCCAGTGGGGTGTAGGTTTGAGCAACAAGCCAGACTTTCTCACATAGAGATATTCTTCCTTCCCAAGACAGAATATTAAGTTATATCCAGGGGAAAAAAACCATTTGCCAAAGGTTGAATCAATTCCACACTGGACCTGGGTTTAAGCAAGAGGAGAGAATCCAGGAAGGGAGATAATGGATAGATTTCTTCCCCCTCTATTTTTGCTTGTCCTCCAGAGGCAGGTAAAAAACAAACCTGTCTCCTTGCTTTCTGTTGTTATTTTTTTGGTATATTTGTTTTTAGGCAGTATGGTGGCATCAAAGAGATAGCTACAGCAAACGGAAGAATCCAGGTGGAATGGTGGACAGTGGCAATTACAGAGAAACATTCTTAATCTTCCATCTCAGAGTCTAGGTGCCACCGAGGAAAGGGGGATCGATTCGGGTTCAGTTAATAATTCCTGATCCCCAATTGTGCTCTGCGCTCTGTGCTAAAGACGTCAACATATATTCTAAAAAACCAATCTGTATAATGACTTTGACTGGAATATATATTATTGGTCTACCAATTTCCAGACTCTGTCAAAAACTCCTCAAATATCTTATTTGAAGCAGTCTTTATAATGTTTCTTTACAGAGGAGTTTGCAAGCAGGGTAAATGTCTTGAATTAAGATATTTTGTTTACAAGATCAATGCTCTTCCCTTTGTTTGAATTTCACTTCAAATGTTTTGCTGACATTTAATTTTTTTCCTACATTGGCATCAAGGAAAGAAATTTAAAGTATGAAGACGAAAATTAAAACTGTCTTAAAGTAACCACCATGACACTTTGTTATATTTCCTTTTGTTTCTCTGCCCCCTATAAATTACTATGTGTGTTTACACACACACACACACACACGCGCGCGCACGCACACACATTGCAATGAATTACCTTGTGCATTTTTCATTTTGCACAAGACAGAATAAGATTTGAACTCTTTTTTAAAAAATATTTTTATTTATTTCTAGGAGAGAGAGAGAGACAGCGTGAGCAGGGGAGGGTCAGAGAGAGAGGGAGATACAGACTCTGAAATAGGCTCCAGGCTCTGAGCTGGGAGTCAGCACAGAGCCTGACGCGGGACTCGAACCCACGAACCGCGAGATCATGACCTAAGCGAAAGTCGGACACTTAACCGACTAAGCCACCCAGGCGCCCCAGATTTGAACTCTTAAAATGGAGAAAAATACAATGATTTGATCCTCACATTTGTGCAAAACAACAAATGTGTGAGGTTATTCATTGTGACATCTTTATAATAGCAAAGAAAAGGAAGAAACCTAACTGTTCATATGCATATGTACATAGACACATACAGATAAATATGGATAATTTCCATATACGTAAGCTTGCAATATATGCTACTTTTAATCTGTTTTCTTTATACTTAATGGACAACATACCTTGAATACAGTTTCTTTTTTTAAGATTTTTTATTTTTAATTTTATTTTTAATGCTTATTTATTTTTGAGAGAGACAGAATGAGAGCAAGGGAGGGGCAGAGAGAAAAGGAGACACAGAATCTGAAACAGGGCTGTCAGCACAGAGCCTAACGTAGGGCTTGAACTCACGAACTGTGAGATCATGACCTGAGCCGAAGTTGGATGTTTGACTGAGCCACCCAGGCGCCCCTTGAGGTTTTACCCTTAAGTAATCTCTGCACTCAACATGGGGCTCGAACTCACAACCCTGAGATCAAGAGTCACATGCTCTACCAATTGAGTCAGCCGGATGCCCCTTAAATACATTTTCATGTTTTGAAATGTTCCTTGAAATATTTTATATGGTTTCATAATAGTAATTCTATAGAATACAGTGTATATCTATATTTATGTTTAATATGTTTATTTAACAGATACGGTTAAGCATTCCCCTCTTATTGTATGTTTAGATTGTTTAAAAGTTCAATAACGTTACATCAACAATCTCAAACATTGATCTTTAGCTGTCTTATTTCCTTAGACGAATAATAAAAAGCAGTCTTTCTAGGTCAACATTTTGCCAATTGGCTGGCCACGCGATAAAGTGGGTTGATAGATTTCCTCGCACTGAGCCATTCATCTCTTCCTGGGAATTTTCTTATTTGATTTTGGTGGTATTCTTTCATTACAACACTGGATTCTATTTGCATATATTTTATTTAACTCCTATATATATACAAAGAAAATCTGTCTTTTTTTGTGCTAACATACCAAGTTTGTTCATCAAGATAAATGATTTTGTAAAGTCAGGTGAATAACATTCCATTTTTCTGTGTGTCCTGAAACTGTTCATATAGCACATGGGACGCTTCTTCTTTGGAAGTTTGAAGGAATGTGGTAATAGAGATTTCTGGTATCTTTTGAGGAACTTAACCTGTTAGGACCATAGTAGGACTGACTTTACTATTTCATTGACTGTGCAACAACGAATTTGGGAGATGGATGTTGTTACGATCATTAGCTTAGAGTTAGGGAAACTGAGGTTTGGAGAGACTGAATAATTGGCTTAACAGGTGAAGCCTGGGATGGCAAACCCAGATGGGTTGGCACGTTAACCATTACTCACACTGCTTCTCACGCTTGGCAACATTTTCTTTAGAAATTAATTCAGTTTTCTAACTCTAAATTTAACTTGTAATTTCTATTTTTCTTAAACATATCCATTGGACATTTTTAGCTTTATTAGCTCAACACTATACCACTCCTCAAAAAAAAAATAACCCTCTATATATGAAATCCGAACCCTTTTCTTTCTTTTTTTTTTTTTTATAGTTTATTTTTGAGACAGAGAGAGACAGAGCACAAGTGGGGGAGGAGTAGAGAGAAAGGGAGACACAGAATCTGAAACAGGCTCCAGAGCCCAGTGCAGGGCTCGAACCCACGAACCGTGAGATCACGACCTGGTCAAAGTCAGACGCTTAACCGACTGAGCCACCCAGGTGCCCCCCCAACCCTTTTCTTACTCTTAATTTTCTGTGCTAATGTTTCTTGGATCAGCCATTTATTAATATTATTATTCTCTTTCCAAGAACTACCCCTTATACATATCAATTTGTTTATTATTATTATTTTTGGCCTTCAAATCATTATTTTATGCTTTTGGACTTGGTCATTTCTGCCTCCTAATTTTCTTTGGTTTGGTTTGGTTTTGCTTTCTCATTTCTGGGCTCGAATCTTTAGTCCGTTCGCCTTTCCTCTTCTCTGTTAATAATATAAGGTCTTTAGCTCCTTCTCATGAGTGTCAAAACACAGTTTTCTTATGGTTGCAGCATCCTAAATCATCAGTAATCGCATCCCCGATTTTCCCTCTGACCCAAAAATTCTTCAGTAGAGTTCAGTAGAGTTGTTACATTTCGAAGAATTTGGGTGTGTTGGTTTGCGCTTTGGCCGTTAATTTTCTGTCTTACTGTATCGTGGTCAGAGAACAGGGCCTGTGCACTCTCTGCTTTGGGGGATTTATTGAGATTTCCTTTGTGGGCTT